CGTAGGGCTGCCTCCAGCCGCGGGGTGAGCTTTGCCCACGTCTGCTCCACCAGGCCCGCAAGGGCCAGGCGCGCGAGCAGCAGGGCGGCCAAAACATGGCCGAGGTCTCCGAAGGAAGTGCGTCCGTGGGCCTTCTTGGCCTGCTGCGTCTTCTTCTGCCGGCTGCGCCTCACCTTGGCCAGGTGGCTGTTGCTCTGCTTCTGCTTGACCTTGTCCTTTGCAAGCCAAGCCCTGGCTCGGAAGCGGTCCTGCTTGGATCCGCCTCCCTCCTTCAGGAGGTTCTGGTAGGACGTCCGCAACTCATCGTTGCAGCGCCGACTGGACCTAGGGCCCGCCACCTTCCACGGCGGCGCGGGGGCCGCAGCGGGGGCCGCAGCGGCGGGCGGGGCGGCAGCAGGCCGCTTCATCCCTGGAGCAGGGACGGCTTAAGGGAGACCGGTCCATCGAAAATGCCCTCCGTTTTATAGGGATCGCCCTATCTAAAATGCCTCTCCCGAGAAACCTGCAAAACACCTCAAGAGGTCCCCCCAAGATCGCTCCAAGACGGCTCAAGAGGTCTCAACGATGGTTCTGAGACGGCCAAAGAAGGCCCCAAGACGGCCCATGCCGCCTCCTCCAAAACGGCCTAAGAGGCTCCCCAAGCCGACTCCAAGAGTGTGCCCAGACGGGGCGCCCGAACCGACATTTCGAGCCCTCAGCCCAGCATGACGGTCACCCTAAAATAAGGGCCATTTTTAGGGGGACCGGTCCCCCTAAAATCCCATCCGGTTTTAGGGGGACCGGTCCCCCTAAAATCCCATCCCGTTTTAGGGAGACCGGTCCCCCTAAAATCCCATCCCGTTTTAGGGAGACCGGTCCATCGAAAATGCCCCCCCCCCCCCGTTTTATAGGGATCTCTATCTCTAAAATGCCTCTCCCAAGAGGCCTGCAAAACACCTCAAGATGCACCCCCGAGATCGCTCCAAGACGGCTCAAGAGGTCTCAACGATGGTTCTGAGACGGCCAAAGAAGGCCCCAAGACGGCCCATGCCGCCTCCAAAACGGCCTAAGAGGCTCCCCAAGCTGACTCCAAGAGTGTGCCTATACGGGGCGCCCGAACGGACATTTCGAGCCATCAGCCGAGGGTGGCGGTCACCTAAAATAGGGGCCATTTTTAGGGGAACCGGTCCCCCTAAAATTCCATCCGGTTTTAGGGGGACCGGTCCCCCCAAAATTCCATCCCGTTTTAGGGAGACCGGTCTATCGAAAATGCCCTCCGTTTTATAGGGATCGCCCTATCTAAAATGCCTCTCCCGAGAGCCCTGCCGTCGTCGTTGTCGTCGTGGTCGTGGTCGTCGTCGTCGCCGTCGCCGCCGCCGCCGACGACGACGCCGCCGTCGTCGCCGCCACCGCCGCCGCCGACGGCGCCGCCGTCGCCGCCACCGCCGCCGCCGACGACGACGCCGCCGACGACCTCGACGACGACGACGACGACGACGACGACGACGACGACGACGACGACATCCGCAACGACGACGACCGCAACGACGACGACGGCGCCGCGACGACGACGACGACGACGACGACGACGACGACGACGACGACGACGACGACGACGACGACGACGACATCCGCAACGACGACGACCGCAACGACGACGACGGCGCCGCCGACGACGACCGCGACGACGACGACGACGACGACGACGACGACGACGACCACGACGACGACATCCACAACGACGACGACCGCAACGACGACGACGGCGGCGGCGGCGGCGACGACGACGACGACGATGACGGCGACGACGACGACGACGACGACCACGACGGCGGCGGCGGCGACGACGAGAGGTGGTAGCGGCCCGCGGGGTGCCGACAGCGCACCTTCCGGTAGCGGCCCTTCCGGTCGCAGCTCGAGTCCCCGGTGGCGGTCCGGGCCACGCGGGACGAATCGGACACCGCCGGCGATCGACCGTAGTCGTCGTCGTCGTCGCCGCCGCCGCTGCCGCCTCCGCCGCCACCACCGTCGCCGCCGCTGCCGCCGCCGCCGTCGTCGTCGTCGGCGGCGGCGGCGTCGTCGGCGTTGGGTTCGGAGTCGGGGTCCAATCCAACCTCCCAGAGGTAGCAGAAAATCTTGAAGACCGTTTCTGTTAAACTGCACCGTTACACGCCTGGGGGGGAGTCGCCTGGGAAATCTGCAAACCAGGCGGCCAGGACCCCCCAGAAACTCCGGACCTCCCAAACTTTTAAATTTTTAAAAATTTTAAAAATTTTAAAAATTCAAAAGTGTTTTAAATTTTTAAAATTTTTAAAATTTTTAAAATTTCTAAACATCCCAGGGCCTGGGAAATCCGCAAACCAGGCGGCCAGGACCCCCCAGAAACTCCGGACCTCCCAAACTTTTTTAAATTTTTAAAAATTTTAAAAATTTTTAAAAATTTAACAAATTCAAAAGTGTTTTAAATTTTTAAAATTTTTAAAATTTTTAAAATTTTAAAAAATCCCAAGGTCTGGAGACCCCGAAAACCAGGCTGAAGGAAGAAAAGGAGGGGGAGGCGAAGGGGGGGAGGAGGAGGAAGGAGGAGGAGGAGCAGGAGCAGTGACAGTGAGAGGCAGGAGGAGGAGGAGGAGCAGGAGCAGGGAGAGGCAGGAGGAGAGGAGAGGAGGAGGAGAAGGAAGTGGAGTGAGAGGAGAAGGAGGGAGGAGGGCCCTGGAAGGTCACAAGATGATATGAAAGAAAGAGAAGGGTATGAGGTCGGATACCGGTATCCCCTCCTGGTCGGCCGTACCCCTCCCTCCCTCCCTCCCTCCCCCCTCCCTCCCTCCCTCCCTCACTCCTGCTCCTCCTCCTCCTCCTCCTCCTCCTCCTCCTCCTCCTCCTCCCTCCCTCCTCCTCCCCCCTCATCCTCCCTCCTCCTCCTCCTCCTCTCCTTCCCCCCCCCCCCCATCCAACTCATGGTGGTGGTGGTGGAAAACAGGCCCATCAGGGGGTGGGACGGGCCCAGGCTGCTCGGGGGGGGGGGGCCCGCGGAAGCCCGCGGGGGCTGCTTAGGGGGGCCCGTGGAGGCCCGCCAGGGTTTCCGGGGTGGGCTGCCCAGGCCCCCGACGCCCTGACTTTTTCACGGCGTCGGCCCCCAGAGGTCTCAGGAGGAGAAAAACAACACAGACACAAGGAATCGTCGCTGCCCCAGAATCTGGACGCCCGAAATGGGTACGGAAAGAATGGGTACAGTGCCCAACAGCAGTTCCTGTTCATTTTGAACAGGACTCGCTGTCGGTGCCGCCGCGGCTTGTGTCCATTTGAGACAGAAGGCCGCCTGCCCAACAGCGGCCACTGTTGGTTTGGGACAACATTTGTTGTTGGGCATTGTACCCATTCTTTCCGTACCCATTTCGGGCGTCCAAACAGAAAATCGAGGAACATTTGGGAAGTGGGGGGGGGAAGTATGGAAAATATAAGGAATCCGGTGATTTGTGTGCATTTCTTTGTGTGTCCCAGGGCCCCTTCAAGGTCTCGGCCCCTGCCCCGGAAGAGGCTTCTCCTCCCGAGGTGTTTTTTTGTCACGCCCCCCGAGGCCCGGCATTACGGCCCCTGGAGGCCGGAACTCGGGCCGAGCGAAAGTCAGTGCGTGCATCATTTGCCCCGCTTTCGCTTCCAGGCAAAACCAAGTCATACCACGCGCCTCCTCGTCAAGCGGCCTGACCAGTGCAGGCCGTAGTTTGGCATCGCTTGGTATCTTTTGGGAGCGAGGGTGGTCAAAAGCGAGGTAGGTTTGTTTGCCCCCCAGAAGGGGGGGGATAATTAGGGAAAGGGTGGCCAGGTTACGACATCTGCTGCGTGCAGCTGGCTTCGGCCCCGCCGCCGGGCCCAGTCGACACGTGGGCGCCTCCTCGGCGCTGGGAGGCGCGGGGAGAATCAGCTGCGTGAGCTGAGTCTCTACCCTGCCCTCTGCTATCCTCCCCCCTTGCGCTTCCCCCCGAGAAGAGCCTGCGAAGAGGCTGCCGTCGTGATGCTCGCCTGGCTCGAGAGGGGGGGGGTCTATAGGTGCCTGGGCGCCGCCCGGAGGGCCCTCCGCGCGTGGACCCGTGGAGAGATAGACTTGCTCGCCGCACGAGCGATCGGGGCTGGACCCGAGCTCGTACGGGGCGCGAAAACGGCCACAGCCACTGCTTTTCTTTTGGTGCCGCCTTCCAGCCCGCAGAACCAAAGCAGTGGTTGTGGTCACTTTCGTTGAGCTTGGCACCAGGGAGATGACCACAACCACTGCTTCTTTTTCGGCCGGCTGGAAGGCGGCGCAAACAAGAAGCAGTGGTTGTGGTCATTTTCCCGTCCCGCAATTTGTGGAGGCCGATCAGTGGAGTGGGAGCTCGTTGCCAAAAGATGTCCAGATGTCTAGAACATGCGTTCAAATCTGTTTCAAACATGCAAAACACATGTTTTAACCATGTTCAGGGCTTGTCGTCCGACATTTAATACAAACGCAGAGGCGGTCATTGGAGGGGGAGCGTGTCGCTAAAATATGTCCAGATGTCTAGAACATGCGTTGAAACGGCTTAAACATGTAAGACACATGCTTTAACCATGCTCAGGGTTTGTTTCCCGACATAAAGAAATCAAACCCAGTTGAAATTCGATGATCGGACTGCTAGGGTGTCCATTGTCGTGGCATCCACAAACCTAATAAACGCTGCTGTGCTGGACGTCGGCTGTGGTTTGGACTTATTTCTGTTCTTGGAGGGGGGTACAGGAAAACAGGTATAGCAAAACGAATCACAAAACGAAAACCAAACGGACAACAACGTTTAGGTCCAGCCCTGCGAGAGATCGAACAAGAAAAGCGCAGTACACATTTTTTGTTCGGCGCTCCGTGCGGATTTCGTGGGTCTGCGCTGGGGCCCCTGGCGGCGCCGCCCGTGGCGCGCTCCGCGCGCCAGGGAGGGGGGCCCAGCGCCGATCCGAGAAACCCGCGCGGAGCGCCAAGAGTCGATGCTTGTGCCGTGGTCTCGCTTCCGAGAGAGGCGCCGTGGCGCTCCTGGTGGCCAGGCTGGCGCCCACGGCGCCGGCCTTCTTCTCGGGATCCCGCAGAAAGGGGGAGCGCGTGCCCCGGAGCGTGTGTGTGTGAGAGAGAGAGAGAGAGTTCGGCCGGTGTTTGCGCCGAACCGCCCAAGACTTACGTCGGGCCTGTCCCTCTACAAGGGGAATATTCAAAAATATCACTAAAAGGGTTTTGGCACTATTTTGTGACCATTTTTGATTTTGGGGGTATTTTTTTGACAAGATCTGATTTTTCATCCAAAATCCCCTTTAGGGGACAGGCCCGACTTAATGATAGGTGGGGCATGCGGGGGGCGTCTGTTTGCGGCAGTTCGGGGGTCCAGCGGATCGAATTCGTGCCCCCCCTCTCGGGGTCGCACCCCCTTTTTGGTGGATCCCGGTCTTCGTGTCGATCGAGGGCAACACGACGCAGGACGACTGCGGGGAGCGCGGGCTCGCCCGGGAGGTGGCCCGGCAGGCGCCGACGTCGGTGCGGCTGCTGGAGAGGGTGCGGCACTTCGACTCCCCGACGGGCGTATGTCGGAGGCCCAGAGGTTGGCACCAGCCTTGCGTCGGGCGTGTCCCTCTTCAGGAGAGGAATCTTCGAGAGTAGCCAGAACATGGGTCTGGGGAGGACTTTTGATTAGCTTGGGCTTTTCTTTGAACCTTTTTTTTGGGGGGGGGCTGTTTTTGGGATTCTTCTTCAAAAAATCCGCTTGTAGGGGGACATGCCCGACCCAGCACCGGCCCTCGAGCCGTCTGGGGGTTTGAGAAGGCACAGCATTGGCTCCGGCGACCACGAACTAGGGGACGAGGGACGCTACAGTGCCTTTTTAAATACATGCTCCGCGTGCGGATCACGCATTAAACATGCAGGGATTTAGTAGTAAAAGCAACGATGAGTTCGTGCATACATTTACTCATAACTAAATCATGTATGAACAACCCTATCTGTTTAAACATCCCATGTAGTAAAAACTGCCCTGTATCGAACAGCCTCTTCCGCCGTCGGGGATGCCTCGAAGAGGAAAACCCCGCGCGGGTTTCTTGGCTCTGCGCCTGGGACCCCTGGGCGGCGCCGCCCCTGACGCGCGGAGCGCGCCAGGGAGGGGGGTCCAGCGCTCCTCTCATTTGGGGGCGAGGAGCGGTATATCATACATGCTTCGCTGGGCATGCCTGCCCCAGGGCGTCTGGGAGGTTTCTGCCCCAACCTGGGCATGGGGACGTATGGGCATCTGCTTTTGCAGTTGCCCGAGGGCAGGCGTGCCCTCGGGCAACTGCCAAAGCAGGTTCTGTTATACTGCTCTTCGCCCGCGAAACGGAGGGGGGGCGAGGTTGGAGGCTCGGGGTCCGAGCCGGTGTTTTGTCCAGTTCGGTCCCCCGGGGGCCGTTTTCGGGTGCGCACCGGACCGTGAAACGCGAGTCCAGAGTGGAACATGTGGACCCCTGGGAAGGGGTTCGGAGATCGATTTTGAGCGGATTTGCCTTCGTTCCCCTCTCTTGGTTGATGTTCTGGGGCCCCATCCAGATCAGACCCTGTACACCAATATCGGCGGTGTGCTCCGCTGAATGAAGAAAGAAAACAACGGCAGGAACAGAACACGAGGAAGCTATTAAGAAACTGCCCTGTGTTATTGTCAGCACCGAAACGAAAACAAGTAATCAAGAGATGCAGATTTAGCGGAGCGAAATTTGTAGCACCGCACCAACCGTAACACATAATTGATTATTGCACCCTCACCCTCCGACCTCAAGTGCTCCTCCTTTTCCTTTCTACCGTAGTTATTGTCTTCCCTTCGACCGCAAGTTATGGGGTCCTCTCTCCTTCCTCCTCCTCCTTGTCTCTCCAGTGAGGATTTCATTTTCTTCGGCCGTCCTAAGTGGTGATCCAACCCAGGGTATCGCCCCCGATTTTCACGGAGCGTTCTGTCAGCACAGGGGAATGCCGAAAATAACGTAGCACCCCGCAGTTGCGGATAAGAGTGATGGGGGGGGAACCGTCTGCAATTTGCGAGGCTCTGAAGAAGCCCCCCGCAGGCGCTTTATTTGTACAAGGTGCACAACGAGCCCGCCGCAGGCGCCAGTTTTCGCTAAAGCAATGTGAGTGGGTCGCGGGTTGGGTCGCGGGTGGTTCGCGGGTGGGTCGCGGGTGGGTCTCGGGGTGGGTCGCGGGTGGGTCGCGGGGGGGTCGCGGTTGGGCTGCGGGTGGGTCGCGGATCGGTCGCGGGTGGATCGCGGCCGGGTCGTTGGTTGGGTCGCGGGTGGGTCGCGTGGTGCGCCGCGGGTGGGTCGCAGGTGGGTCGCGGGTAGGTCGCGGGTTGGGTCGCGGGTGGGTCGCGGGCGGGTCGCGGGGTGGTCGTAGCTTAAGTTGTAGAAGAAGGTAGTAGGTAGTAGTAGTAGTAGTAGTAGTAGTAGTAGTAGTAGTAGTAGTAGTAGTAGTAGTAGTAGTAGTAGTAGTAGTAGTAGTAGTAGTAGTAGTAGTAGTAGTAGTAGTAGTAAGTAGTAGTAGTAGTAGTAGTAGTAGTAGTAGTAGTAGTAGTAGTAGTAGTAGTAGTAGTAGTAGTAGTAGTAGTAGTAGTAGTAGTAGTAGTAGTAGTAGTAGTAGTAGTAGTAGTAGTAGTAGTAGTAGTAGTAGTAGTCTAGTAGTAGTAGTAGTAGTAGTAGTAGTAGTAGTAGTAGTAGTAGTAGTAGTAGTAGTAGTAGTAGTAGTAGTAGTAGTAGTAGTAGTAGTAGTAGTAGTAGTAGTAGTAGTAGTAGTAGTAGTAGTAGTAGTAGTAGTAGTAGTAGTAGTAGTAGTAGTAGTAGTAGTAGTAGTAGTAGTAGTAGTAGTAGTAGTAGTAGTAGTAGTAGTAGTAGTAGTAGTAGTAGTAGCAGTAGTAGTAGTAGGTAGTAGTAGTAGTAGTAGTAGTAGTAGTAGTAGTAGTAGTAGTAGTAGTAGTAGTAGTAGTAGTAGTAGTAGTAGTAGTAGTAGTAGTAGTAGTAGTAGTAGTAGTAGTAGTAGTAGTAGTAGTAGTAGTAGTAGTAGTAGTAGTAGTAGTAGTAGTAGTAGTAGTAGTAGTAGTAGTAGTAGTAGTAGTAGTAGTAGTAGTAGTAGTAGTAGTAGTAGTAGTAGTAGTAGTAGTAGTAGTAGTAGTTGTAGTCAGGCGTTGATCGTTTCCCTGTGTTCAATGTTTGCAGTTCCGCGCGGATTACTTGGATCTGCGCTTGAGCCGCCTGCCGGCGTCGCAGCCCCGCCAGCGAGGGGGGTCCAGCGCGGATCCACAACATCCGCGCGAACCTCCGGAAGTTGATGCGTTCTTTGCTTCTTCTAACCGAGGGGAGTTGATCCCGACCTCGGAGAACGTAGTAAGATTCGGGCGTTCTCCAAAGTCCAGGATCGTCTTCCCCCAGTGGAGGCAAATCTCCCGTGCTGACGTGAATGCCAACTTCCAGGCCTCCCAGTATGGGCGAGCAGCGCGGCCCGGCTGGGCGATTCGCTGGGGCCCTTCGGGCACCGCCTGTTCGCCTCCCTGGTGAGGTGGTGCGACTGCGGCGAGCTGCTGGACACGTTCCTGTCCATCGCCAAGGTTCAGGAGGGAAAGAAACACACAGACACAATTAATCGTCGGCTCCGAAGAAAATACGGGAAAATGTGGGAAGTGGGGGGGACGACAAAGACCCAGAACATATGGAAAAATATGGGGAACATTTTTATTTGTGTGTATTTACTTGTGTGTCCTGGGGCCCCTTCAAAGGTGCGGTACCTGTGCGGCGAGCGCTCGGGCAAGTACCACGTCGGCACTTGGGCCTCCCTGCAGCGCCACCCCGACGCCAGGTGCATCGAGATCAAAGGCGCGCGCGCGCGGGCGGGGAGGGGCGGGGTCAGGGGGTACATCAGGGGAGGTCAGGCCGGGAACGAAGTTTCTTGGGCGCCGCGTAATGGGGGGGTCATAAATTGGGGGGGTGGCGAGCGTGGTCCGAAAAGGTACCCAAACGGTACCTAAACGAGCCCCCTGGTGCTCTGGAGGGGCCCGAAAGGGGCACGAAAGGGGACCTTTTCCGACCCCCCCATTTGTGACCCCCCATTGAGCCACGCCCAAGTTTCGAGGCTCGAGGCTTTCGAACGTCCTCGTCGCTTCCCGGCGGCAGTCCGTCTCGGGACGCCTTCCCGGCGGCTGCGCCTCGCCGAGGGCGTGCCCGGGGAGGTGCCCCCGGAGCGTCCCGAGCGGCCGTCGGAGAGCTGGGCGGAGGCCCGGAAGCTGGGGGGCGACGGCAGGGCGGAGAGATCGGCGTCCCCCCAACGTGCTGATGCTACACAGGGGCGCCCTCGAGGGCGCGAAGTTCTTCGCGCTTCGCGGTTCGGCTCCAGTTCCTCCTCACCCTCCTCTCCTCCCCTGGGAGGCGGCGCGAGAGCGCGAAGTTATTCGCACTTCGCGCTTCGCGCAGCGCGAAGCGCGAAGTTGGGAGCCCTTGACTATACGTGAGTCGCCCCCCCTGGGGCGACGCGCGCACCGAGAAATCTTATAGGATATGCGTCGTGGCGGGCGCTTTCTGGCCGCACCGCTCGGGAATGGATCTGAAACTATACTCGGAAACTGGAGCAGATACATTACCAGTGGCGGGCGGTTTTTCAATCCCTCGACTTTTTTTGAGGGTAGGGGGCGACGTCGGGGTGGTGTGGTGTATACTCGTTTCCCAGTCTTCCCGTGGAAACAACAAAAAACGTATACACCAGGATGCCGCATACACCATAATCCGTTTTCTTGTGCGAATCTCAATGTGGGACTGGACAAAAAAGCATCGATGTAGAAAGTTCGGTTCCTTATATGTGCGTGTCGCCCCCCCCCTGGGGTAACGCGCGCACCGAGAGATCTTGTAGTCTATGCGTCGTGGCGGGCGCTTTCTGGCCGAACGCTCGGGAAAGGATCTGCTACAATAAGGGTATACGATACGTTCGGGTCGGACGCGCGCCTCCAAGGAGGACATATAGTATTCTCATGTCCCTGTGCGTCCCAAGATCGGCTCCAGGGGGGGGGGGGGATGGGGGACCCGCCTTCGTGGTCTTGGATGTGGAGGAGGAGGAGGGGGAGGAGGAGGAGGAGGAGAGGAGGAGAAGGAGGAGGAGGAGGAGGAGGAGGAGGGGGGGAGGAGGAGGAGGAGGATGCAGGAGGCGGAGAGGAGGAGGAGGAGGAGGAGGAGGAGGAGCAGGAGGAGGGTGGAGGAGGCAGGAGGAGGAGGAGGAGAGGAGGAGGAGGAGGAGGAGGGAGGAGGAGGAATGAGGATGAGGATGATGAAGGAGGAGGAGGAGGAGGAGGAGGAGGAGGAGGAGAGGAGGAGGCGGAGGGGTAGGAGAACGTGGTAAAAAAGACGAGGAGGAAGAGGAGGAGGGTGAGGAGGAGGAGGAGGAGGAGGAGGAGGAGGAGGAGGAGGAGGAGGAGGAGGAGGAGGGAGGAGTAGGAGGAGGAGGAAGGAGGTGGAGGAGGGAGAAGGTGGAGGAGAGGAGGGAGAAGGAGAGGAGGAGGAGGAGGAGGAGGAGGAGGAGGTAAGGCCGATGCCAGCTGGGTGGTAGTCGGCGTGGGCCCAGACCTCCGACAGCATGATGTGCTGCTCGGTGCGGGGCCCCCATGGGGGCCCCGACCCTCTTCCCCAGGGGCCAGGTCTTTCGCCTCCTCCTGCTCCTCCTGCTCCTCCTACTCCTGCTCCTCCTCCTGCTGCTGCTCCTCCTGCTCCTGCTCCTCCTGCTCCTCCTCCTCCCCCTCCTCCTCCTCCTCCTCCTCCTCCTCCTCCTCCTCCTCCTCGGGATTCGTTTTTGACGTCTCGGGAGCCCGGAAGCGGCTCCATGCTGGCTACTACAATCTGCATAGTTACGCCGGGGTGTGGTCTGCGATGCGGGTCGTGAGGGTTTGGGGGACACCACGTTGCCTCTCTCGTCGAGCCTCGTTGGGGCGCGGCGGAGAACTCTGCCGAGGTGCTTGCCCGCCCCACAGGGTCTGGTTTGCAAGCCACGCCCCCCTTGCAAACCACTCCCTTCGGAGTCGCCGGCCCAGGGGCCGGGATCGAGGAAACACGCCCGGGTGGACAAATGCATGCCGTCGGATATCTTCACCAGGCAGGAACATAGCCTCATCTGGATGCCAGTCTGAAGGATTCCGTCAGCGTCTGAGGTCTAGGCCTCTCAGCTTGGGTCGGAGCAGATGGGGTCAGAGGATCGCGCCGCAACGCCGATGCATCGGCGATGCGGCTCGATGTGGAGCCCGATGTTCTCCGCGCCCACGTCGCCGATGCGTCGCCGACGTCGCCAGTGCATCGCCGATGCATTGGCGAATGCGGCGCGATCCTTCGACCCCATCCACTCGGACCCCATCTAGGAGGCCTCTATGAGGGCGCACCCCTAATGCTGTCATTACCACTGTCATTGCCTTGGGGCTTTCCAGTCCTAGGGATAGGGATGCGTCCGAGGCTGGCCAGATCTGGGGAGGGGGAGGTCGGGCCAGGCTCCTGCGGCCGGCCCTCGGCGGCGAGCAGCGGCGAGAGGGGCCAGAGTGGCGAGAGAGAGGGGGGCGGCCTGCCCGGGGCCCTGGCCCAGGGTGGCCCCACCTCTCGAGCAGGGGGTCGACTGCAGGATCGATATACCCCCAGGTTGGACTGGACCTGTCTTCGAATCAATAGAGTTAGTGTTCAAGGTTTGTATACATATATATATATATATGTAGATATGGATGGATCGATTCTGTGGTCGATCCCCGATTCGAAGCTTATTCTGGAGGCCCAGGTGACCTCCAGGGCACCCCTCGCTATGCCCAGCGGGCCCCGCGGGGCCCCAGGGGGGCGCGGAAGGCTGGGGGCAACCTTGGGCCGTGATCACCCCTGGCTTCGTGGCTTCGGTGGCTTCGTGGCCAAGCCAGGAGGGCGTGGCATATACACCGCTGCTGGGTTCGGGATCGGCCTGGCCAGGGTGCAGTGGACATGTCCAGATTTCGTCGCTGGCTGGGGTGTGTCTGGTGCGCAGGCCAATACTTGCCGGCCTGTTCGTTCCTCCCTCAAGCCCATGGCCATGGCACGATTTTGTTTTCAGTCCCCTGCGGTCGCCACTGCTCAGCGGAGTTGCGATGGGGATAGCCCTTTTGAGGGGCAGCAGATCGGGCGGTCTTCGCGAAAGAAAGCACACGTATAAATTGCGAAGGCCTCACGGACAGTGCCGCCGACTCTGAAGGGGGACGACGACGACGGCGGCGACGACGACGACGCCGACGTGGATCAGAGTCCTCAGGGATGCCTCTGGCAGTCTCTTCAGCGCTCGCGGGAGCTTCTGGGGGGAACAGTTCGGGGGCCTCTTGGGGTCTCTTGGGCCCTCGCGAAAGACAGCGAAAGTACGGACAGGTTCAGTTGCCCTGCCCCCTGCGTGGGTGTGGGGGGGGACCTCCCCGGAGAGGCAGGGGGCTCCCGTCGGGGAGCGCCCCCGCGGCTTGTCTCCGCGCACGAGGGGCAGCGCGCGCGCACGCCGTCGCAGGCGGGGTGAGGGGGTGGGGGCCTGCCTGAGGAGGCCGCGCCCCCTTCCTTGATCCTCCTCCGCCTCCGCCTCCTCCTCCTGCTCCCCCTCCTCCCCCTCCTCCTCCTCCTCCTCCTCCTCCTCCTCCTCCTCCTCCTGGATCATCAAGCCACAGACAATAAAAGCACACGCACGACGCCGAGGCATGCACGGGGAAGCGCGTTCGTTGTTGATCGGGCTGGCTGAGCGACCGACAGCATGTGTTTTTGTGTGTCAGCCCGGGCGCCGCTCCTCGATTTCGGCCTGTCACGGTTGGCGTTGGAAAGACAGCGCGCGATGTAGCGCCACCGGCCCGCTTACGCTCGGACCGGGGTACAACATCGAGGTCGGTTCGGGGAGGTCGTTCGGATCGGGTCGGTTCGACCGGTGCTTGTTGGATGTTCTTGTGCGTCCAGTATTCTTCAGTTCCAGTTTGGCTGGCGGAGGGTCTCGTGTTCTTGATGGATGTTCTTCGGTCTTAGGTCCGACCGTATTGCACCCTATCCCCCACCTTGGGGTCAGCGTGCAGCGAAGAAGCCCTGGCAGGGGGGCCAGCGCGCACAGAAGGGGCCCTCGCGGGGGGATGCCCTCCCAGGGATAGCGTGCGGTTCGGCGATCGATGTTGCGGGCTGCCTTTCCAGCGCCAACCGTATCGCGCTCCGGGGCCCTCAAACAGCGGATGCTGGGCGCAAAGCCGCCCCCCCAGGGAAGGGGTCGGGGACCCCCCCGCCCCCAGGCTTCAGCGTCGTGCTGGTTTTCTCAGCAGCGAGGCCCACCCCGGAGGCCGAAGGTTGCCCCCCTGGCCCCCGCAGACTTCCGACGTCGTGATTTTCGTCACTGCCTCCCTTCTTTTCCGAAGGGAACGCAAACATGGATTCAGGCGCGTGGAATAGCGACGTGTCCCAATCGGGGCGCGTTGTCGCCAAATGAGGCGGCACTGGCCTCATATGTCGGCGGTACCTCCCCCGATCTGTGGATCTGGCGCCAATGCACGAGATCCACGGATCAGTAATCCATGTTAGCTTGCGCCCAAGTTATCCTTTGGTGCATCCGCCGTCTTCTGGGTGATTTTGCAAGTAGGGCGGAAGTTCCCGTCCTACGGTTCGAGCTTCTCCGATGCCGATTCGCCAGCGTACGGCGGATCCGAGGTCCGTGCAGCGCAGCGTAAGGCATTTCCCTCCCGCTGCCTTGCGCGGTTGTCGAGCCGACGCGTGCTGCTGGACGTACGGCCGGAGTGGTGGCGGTGGGCTCCCTGGAGGTCTCGACCCTCCCCCCAGAACCAGCTCTCCTCCTCCTCCTCCTCCTCCTCCTCCTCCTCCTCCTCCTCCTGAATCTCCTCCTCCTCCTCCTCCTCAATCCTCCTCCTCCTCCTCCTCCTCCTCCTCCTCCGGCCGTCGTCTCTTCCGGCGCTGGCCGCCGGGGGTCCAGCGAGCCCCCCCCCGTGGGAGGCCGCTCGCAGCCGGGTCGTGGAAGAAGGAGCCCTTTTCGCTGGGTAGGGACTCCGTGTTCCTGAAGTGTTCCCCAGCTTGCCTTAGGTTTTCCTTCTGTTCTCGATGGGAAATCGAAGGTTAACTTCTGGAAGTCGACGTTTAACTTCCTGATGTTCTCGATGGGAAATCGAAGGAACCCTTTTCGTTGGGGAGGGGCTCCGTGTTCCTTCAGTGTTTCGCAGCTTGCCTCAGGTTTTCCTCATGCTTTCGATGGGGAAGTCGAGGTTACACTTATGGGAAAACAGGGGCCTCGTTCCTTAGTTGGGGTTCCTTTGGTCAACGCCCCGACTGCAAATGGCCCCCGAAGCCTCCCTTTGCGATGGGTTTGCTTCTTTTTGTTGTTGTTCTCGCACCGCGAGGAGGTCTGGGCCGGGCCCGCCCCGCGGGCGGCCAGGGGCTGCCAGCCTGCGGCACGTCCCCGTCCCCGAGCTTCCGCTCGTCGTGGGCTGAACATAGTCCCACCGGTCGCTGAACGTGGGCATTTTTTTGATTCTCCCAGGCTCCAGGCTGCTTTCAGCGCCTCCCTACTCCAATGATCGAGTGGCTTCACCGTGTCCGTCCTCTTCAGGGGGCGCGCGGAAGCCCAATCTGTCTTCGCCGCTTTTCTGCTTCATGATCCGACCTACTTCTTCCGACCGATGCAGCCCCCAATGTCGCTCGATAGCGCCAGTGATCGCCCAACGGCGCCCAGTAGCGCCGAAAAGTGTCCACGTAGCGCCGAATGGTGCCCTGACTGCGCCCAATATCGCCCGCTGGCGCCATATGAGGGAGATGTATTGCGTCCGCTTCGCGCGCTCTTGGACGGCAAGGGGACGACTAAAAGCTTCTGTGAGTTGCTTGCGAACCTAAGATTATCATCACCTTCTCTAGAGGCCGATCTTGAGGATCCCACCCAGCTTTCGAAGGTAGGCCCTCTCGATTGTCATCGCCTTGGGCTCGACAGTCGAAAGGACAGGCATGAGCTCAAGGCTCGTTGATTTGGATGCAGCTCCATGGAGGTTGAATCAAGCATCGGCGCTGGTATATCTGGGTCGAACGCTGGCCTAATCTGGCATATTCGCTGAGTCTGGCTGAACCCCGCTCGTTAATCCCGGGCTCGATCCAACCTCATCTGGCTGAACGGTCCCTTTTCTTGCCTGAGTAGCCCTGCATCGTTCCGATAATACGAACGCTTCCTGATGTTCGAGTCCGGGCACAACAAAGAACTACATCCACAACTACTTTAATTTTTCTAGAGAACCCCTCGGATGAGAACCCGCTGATCTCGACATGCTCACTTCGATTTTGGTTGTGGTCGATTTGGCCGTCTGGAACGACACCCGCATCGACCACAACCAGTACCAAGCTGCACCTGTCCCGACGACTGCTGGCCTGCGCAAAAGCACCTCTCGATGCGGTCGTGGACGCCTGCTTTCTCCGCGTGGAGGAGGCCCCCCCCACCTTTGTGGGCCCCGGAAACGGCAGGGCCGTTTTTTCACCGTTTCCAAAAAAATGTACCTTGAAAATGGAAACGGCAAAAACACGGCGACCGGAAACGGCAAAAAACCGGCTCCAGGAGTGGAACCGGAGCCGGAACCGGTCAACAACCAGCGACGGAACCGGTAAAAAAACGGCGTCGGAACCGGCAACAAAAACGGCAAAGCGGAACCGGTAACAAAAACGGCCCTGTCGTTTCCAGGGCCCACTAAGCCCCCCACACCCACCTATCCCTATGCTGGGCACCTCCTCATCACGAAGCCAATCTTAGGGATTCCCTTTTTTTTTGAGGGCGCATCCCCAAGATTGTCATCGCCTGTTGGCGTGTCAATCCTAGGGATAGGGATGCGTTCGAGGCTGGTAAGAGGAGGCCCCCCCCCACCCGCCGAGGCGCGGGCCACTTCATGCTGGACGAGAAGCCGCAGGAGAGCGTCGCCGCCCTGCGCAGCCTCCTTGGGGCAGGCACGCTGGCTCGCTGGCCTCCTGGAGGCGCCGCGGGCCCGCGGGGGCCCCCGGCGGGCGTGGAGATCCTCAGGCCGGGGAGGGGGGCCGGGGGCGAACGCAGGCACCCCTCGGCGGGGCGGGTGGCGGTGGGGGGCGAGAGACCCAGACCCCCTCGAGTAATGAAAAAAACATGACGGGAGGTTTTTCGCCATTTACGGCCTTTGGGGGCCCTCGCCGGGCCTCGGGAGCGTCAAAAAACGACTCAGGATGACAATCCGGTCCTGGGGAAGGGGTCGAGAACTCTGGGGTCGACGTAATGAAAAATTCATTACGTCGGGGGTCTGGGGATCGGGAGCCTCGAGACGGGGGTCCGTGCAGACGGGGGTCAGCCAGGGCGCCGGATCCTGCAGGATCCTGCGAAGACCCCCTCTGGCCGACCCCGGTTCGCGAGCCGCTCGTGGCCGCGAGGCCGCCGCGCAGACTGGCTGACCCGGGTTTGCGAAGACCTGCGTTGCAGTTGTTTTTTCTTGCATTGCAGTTTTTGGTTTCCTGCTGACCCGGGTCTGGATTTACCCGGGTCAGAAGATCTCCGAGGCGAGAGAGACGCTCAAGCAGTGGAGAAGCATCCTGGCGTGCCGATAGTCCCTACCAAGCAGTGTTCCAAGAGCCTGTTGTGGTTCCCACGAGATGCTCTTGGAACATTTCTGGTTGAGACTGTCTTCTTTTACCACACCGGTTTAATGGTCTAAGAACATTTGTGTTTGTTTTTCGAACATTTTTGGGTTCTAAGAACATTTCGTGGTAGGACTATAGGAATGCCGGGACGGTCGGTCCCTGCTCAAGAGAAGGGCCCCAATGGGGCCGCCTCTCTGACCTTCTTCTTGCTGACCGAGGCCCCCTCGAGTCCTGGAAGCATCGCGACGGGAGGTTCTTCGCCACTTTCGGCCTCTGGGGGGCCCCCGCAGGGCCTCGGGGCCGTCAAGAAACGACTCAGGATGAGAAACCGGTCCCTGGGAAGGGGTCGAGACCTCTGGTGGTCGACGTCATGAACAAATCATGACGTCGAGGGTCTGGGGAGTTGGTAGGCGTGGTCGTTGAGGTCGTGGTCCCACGCGTGCAGTCCGATCTTGTCGAGCTCTTGCTTGAACGCTTCAGGTGGTCGGGGTTCGCGATCCGTGACGGGTCGAGCCTTGGTGCGGACAGTTTTGCATGCGATCGTGCTATGCATGTCTGGTGTATCAAGACGGGCAGGTGGTCCTCGTCCTCCTGGACCATGTCGATGGTATCTATGGTCGCGGCGTCGGTTATCGGGTCCATGTTCTGGGTGGGGGTGACGACGTAGTCTATGCATTATTTCTTGTCTCTTTCCTTGTATGTGTACGTGGGCCCACTGCACTCCCTCGCCGCACTGACACCTGTCAGTTTGTATGCAGTGAGGTACTCGTGGAAGCAGTGTCCTGCGTCGTTCTCCTCAAGCACTTCTGCGCACGTAGTCGCCAATGGAGTTAGACACCAAGACTCCTGTGGTCGCGTTGGCGTCGACAATGCGGAGGTCGGTGTTGAATTTGAGTTGGTAATCTCCGTCCGACATGGGCGTTGGTCTTGCCATCTCCTGAATGGGCGTTGGTGGCGTGCGCCACCGCCGCTGTTCGCCGCAGGCCAGGCGCAGTGATGCGCACGACCAGCAGCCTGGGGTTCTGGTGCAGGACCTTGGCGCGGTCTGGCTGCATCTGTCTTTCCACCACGTCGTCCTCCGCGCGCGACACGTCGATGCTGATGGGGCGCGAACAGCCCATAGTGCGGTTCTCGTTGCCGCTTGGTGCGATGTGGAAGCCACGCATGAGTGCTCTGTGCCCCTTGCCAGTCCCGCCTCCCGCCTCCCGCTCTTGTGGACCCGTATGTCTTTCAGCTGGTAGTTAGTTGATCGACTCTATCCTCGTGATCTTGCGGTGCTGCTCTATGACGGTACGAGTGGGCTTTTTTTTAAGTTCTTCACATTTGACCGCCTGGATGTGCATGTGTTTTGTTTGTTTTACATTTCTGGACGCTGGGTGGTCGGAAGTGCTCCCGCGATGCTACCGATGTAGGCGCTGTGGTGTACAAGCCGTTGTCGGTCAGTTCGGGATACGCCTCATTCGTAGCCTCGTCGGGCAAGCGCAGCCGCTCCCGGTGTCATTGGTGCCGTGCGCCAAAGGCATCGGCCCATTCGGGTTGTGGGTTGGTGTCGTCTCGCCTGCTCAGTCGCTTGGCTGCTGGGTCGGCCAGCTCATTCCGTGGGTGCCCCGCGTGGGCGTAGACATGGTCTGTATGCATGTTGGTTGCCATGTGGCCTGCCTGCCCTGGAGTGGGCAGGGCAGTGAGAGTGGGGCTGGCGAAGAGCCGCCCTTGCTTCCTCGGTTCTCCCCCCTCTCATCCGTTCCCACTCCCGAGGCTCTCCAGTGGGGGGAGGGCGGGGAGCCCCCCCCCCTTCGGAGCGCGTATACTTATTTGTGACTGCGTGCTGTTCGCTAGTCAGTCTACACGCTTGCAGCAACGTCGCGGGGGGAAGGGGGGATCGTTTTTCGAGCGGTGTTCTGGGCCTCGCAGCCGCGCGATGCTTTTGTGAAAGGGTGCGCACTCGCTCTACAAATGTAGGTTGGATCCTTATTAGTAGTATTATTTCTATTGTTATTATTATTAGTATTATTAGTATTATTCGTATTATTGTTCTTAATATTATTATTATTATTATTATTATTATTATTATTGTTATAATTATTATTTGTTTTAAACAAAGAGCACGGGGCTCTCGCCCCAGCGCCGCCTCGCGCAACCGTTTTTGTGGAATGCAGCCTCTGGCACGATGGCGAGCCTGCTCTTCTTCAGAACGACGGCCTCGCGGGAGACGCCGTGGAGCTCAGGGGCCCGCAACTGCAACGCCCGCCACGCTGGGCGGATCCAGGAGGGCTGTGCTTCACACGTCTAGTTGTCGCTCGACGCTTCTTTGACACTCACGCCAACCAGGGTAAACAGTTACTCACCACTCACCAAACCACCCCAACCCAACCCGAAGGCCTCAATTTGCCCTCCGTTTCCAGCTGGGGGGGGTCGGGGAACACTGAAAAACACATGGAACCCGTGCCCCCCCAACCCGAAATTGGGGTCTTCGGGTTGGGTTGGGGTGGTCTGGTATGTAGTCAGTTACACGCTGGGGCGGGGGAGCAGGCAGCTGTGATGATGTGTTGTCTGGTGGTCAGTTTGCACGCCTGCAGCGTCCGTGGGCGGAAGGGGGGTCGTTTTCAAGATAGTGGTTTGGCCGCGCAGCCGCTCGCATTTCTGCAGAAGTTCGCACCAGCGTCAAGAATGTAGGGTGGTTCCTTCTCAACGCGGGGCTCTCGCCCCAGCGCCTCGCCCAGTCGTTCTGTAACGCGACCTTTGGCCAGATGGCGGGCTGCTCTTTATTCAAAGGCGAGGGTATCGCCTGAGGCTTCGTTGGGCTCAAGGGCCCGAGCCTTCATCGCCCGTAGGGCTGCACGGACCCATGGCGGCTATGTTTCAAACTGGATGTGTCGCTCAACGCTTCATCGAAGTTCGTGTTTGTACAACAGTTGCGCGTTAGGGGGTGGACGGGGCGTTTTTTTATATGCGAAAGAGGGATATAGTTGCCCACCCCTCCGAACCGTGTTATAATTCCTTGTGGTTCTCCGTTCCTCTGGACTACGCACCAGGAAGACGCGAGGAAACATGGCCGGTTCAACTGTGCTGGTCTTTCAAGGGGGCGCTTCTTGTGGTCAACCTGGTGACTTTCATGGCCGTGTGAGGGGCGACTTGGGTCGGGAGGGTGGATTGCAGCATTGCTTGCACATCTTCGGTTGAGTCTGGTCCTACTTCCTCCTCCTTTTCCTCATTCTCTTCCTCCTTCTCCTCCTCCTCCTCCTCCTCCTCCTCCTTCTCCTCCTCCTCCCCCTTTCCCCGACTGCGTCGGCTTGGGGTAATTCTGAGTAATCTTCCTCCTCCCCCTAAAGCTAATCGCACTCCTCCTCCTCCTCCTCCTCCTCCTCACCCTCCTCCTCCTCCTCCCCCTCCTCCTCCTCCTCCTCCTCGTCCTCCTCCTCTGTCTCCTCCTCCTCCTCCTCGTCTTGATTGAACTCAGCCCCTGAGCGTCTCCTGCCACTGTCGACCTCGTCCCCTGCCTCCTCCTCCTCCTGCTGGGGTTCTCCTGCCTGGCTGCTGGGTGTTCTGGGCGCCTGCCTGGCTGCTTCAGAGCGTGCCTTCCCGCGGGCCCCCCCCCCCCCCCCACCCCTCAGGTCCAACGTTGCTGCATCACTCAGGTCCAACGTTGCTGCACAATCAATCGTCGACTCCCAGGAAAATATTGGGAAATATGGGAGGTGGGGGGGAAGACGAAAACCCAGAAAATATGGGAAAATATTGGGAATCCTGTTCTTTGTGTGTATTTCTTTGTGTGTCCCAGGGCCCCTTCAATCACGTGCTGCACGCGAGAGACCACGGCCGGAGCCCCAGACCCCACCCCTGTGCGCCGCTCCTCGAGCCGGGTCGACCTGTGAGGGTCCTGAGGGGGGGCGCCTGGAGAGCCAGGCGACGGCGCCCGTGGCGGCACAGAAGTGCATCGCCAGGATCTCAGGGGATGATCGTGGTGATAGATGGTGAAGGTGGTGCTGATGGTGATGATGATGGTGCTGATGGTGATGATGACGACGATGATGATGATGACGATGATGATGATGATGATGATGATGATGATGATGATGATGATGATGATGATGATGATGATGGTGATGCTGCTGATGATGCTGATGATGATGGTGATGATGGTGATGATGGTGATGGTGGTGATGCTGATGCTGATGCTGATGCTGATGCTGATGCTGATGCTGGTGATGGTGATGGTGATGGTGATGGTGATGATGCTGGTGATGGTGATGATGATGGTGATGGTGATGGTGGTGGCGGTGGTGGTTGCGGCGATGGTGGTGATGGTGGCGACAATGGCGATGATGGTGCTGATGGTGGTGGCCCTGCCGAGGGCGGACGACGCGTGCGCCGCGGCCCTCGGCTGCCTGGAGCCAGAGGGCGCGGCCGCCGCGGGGGCCGAGGGCGGCGCGCAGCTGGCGCGGGGCGGCGGCCCGGGCGGCGGGGCGGCGATCAGGCACGGCTTTGGGTACAGCCTGCTTCTGGGAGAGGCTCTTCACCACCATCATCATCATCACCATCATCATCACCATCATCACCATCATGAACCAGCCCCCAGGGCCGAACTCCAGGCAATTTTCTAGGACTCCCAGATGGGGTCGAAGGATCGCGCCGCATCGCCAGTGCATCGGCGATGCGGCTCGATGTGGAGCCCGTATTTCCCCACGCCGACGTCGCCGATGCACCGCCGACGTCGGCGATGCATCGCCGACGTATCGGTCGCCGATGTGTTGGCGGTGCGGTGCGATCCTTCGACCCCATCTACTCGGACCCCATCCAAGAGGCCTCTATTCCCTGAAGTGGGTTCTCGCCCCGGGTCCCTGTTCGATGGGCCCGGGTCTGGAAAGCGGGCACCCAAGGCCGAACTCAGGGCAAAACGTCCAGATGGAACGTGATGGGCCTGTTTTCCACCACCACCATGAGTTGGAGGGGGGAGGGAGTCCTCCTCTCCCTCTTCTTCCTCCTCCTCCTCCTCCTCCTCCTCCTCCTTCCGCCCTCCAACTTATTCTGGTGGTGGTGGAAAACAAGCCCATCAGAACGAATCCCATCGTCGGAGATTTGTGTGCCCAGCAGGTTCCCGCCACGGCCGACGTGCAGGCGGCCACGACACTCGAGGTGGTCGTTGCGTGCCCTTCGGGGGAAGGCAGAGGGGACGGGCCCTCTCGGGAGGCTCAACGGGCCGCTTGGCATTCGAGCAGTTCTCCAAGCCCCCACCGAAGGCACAGGCGGCTTCTCGGAAGGCCGGAGGGCCTCCGCGGAGCCCCGCCACCTCCCGAGGAGGCTTGCCCCATCTCACTTCCCAGACATGCGACGTCTTGATGGTTTCAGTCGGGGGACTCCCGGAAGTCCCGACCCATTTTCCCCAGGACCGGTTTGTCATCCCGAGTCGTGTTTTTATGGCCTCGAGGCCGGGCGCAGTGGGGGCCTGGGCCAAGAAGCACCCTGCTTGCCTCCAGGGTGCCCCCCGTGTTTCTTGGGTTTCGATGGGTTTGCCATGGAAAGCGTGACGTTCCCACGCCGAAAATCGATGGACGTCCTGGGGTCTCAGGGTCGGGTTTCTCGTGGACGGTTTCTTGTGGACTGGCCTCCACGAGGGGGGTCCCCAGAGGCTGAAAGTATAGCAGCACAGGGCTGGACCTGAGCGGTGTTTTGGCGATGTCGTGGGCCGTATTCGTTTCGACTTCGTTTTGTGCTAAAGGCGGATTGAAGACAAAACGAGGGAAAGCGAAAACTAAACGAAAACGAAACATGCCGTTTAGGTTCAGCCCTGTAGCAGCACCCACCGTCGTGATTTGTTCCTGCCTCGTTTGAAAATTTGACGCCCGGGGGCCAGGCAAAGGACCCCCGAGGCCGACAACGGCAGCGACAAGTGTTCTCTCGGGCACGTCCCTCCACATGGGGGAATATCCAGAAGGAGTACAAGAACCAGTCTGGGGACGATGGCTGGACTACCTTTGGTAAACTGCTTGGGCTTTTGTTTTTTGGGGGGGCTGTCTTTTCTTCTGCGTCCCACATCTGCCTGTATGGGAGGACGTGCCCGACCCAGGGCAGGTGCCCTCGTGGCTCGTCCACGGACCGAGCCTGTCTGGGTCCCCCCCCCCTGGAGCTCTCGGGGGTGGACAGAGAACAGAGGGCGCCCTCGAGGGCGCGAAGTTGTTCACGCTTCGCGCTTCGCGGCTCGGCTCGGATTCCTCATCCTCCTCTTCTCTCCTGGGAGGCGGCGCGAGAGCGCGAAGGTAGTCGCACTTCGCGCCTGGCGCAGCGCGAAGCGCGAAGCTGGGAGCCCTTGGAGAAGCCCCACCCGGACGCGTCGATGCGTGCCTCGTCCGTTGTCGGTTCTCGAGAGGGCGCCGCGGCCGTCCTCGGCGGGCCCCACAAGACCGCCCCGAGACGGCTCCTGAGGGGCCTCCGAGGCCCCCAAGGACCGCACGTCGATTAGTGAGTTGCCCGTTCCCTGAGATCCTGGCGCTGCAAGTGTTGCACAACGGGGGGCTGTGGCTCCATTTCGGGCCCCGGGACCCTCACAGATCGATCCGGCTCGAAAAATGACGCAGAAGGATGCGGTCCGGGGCTCTGGGCGTGATTTTCTGCGATGCTGCCATTTGTTTTGCAACGTCGGATCTCAGGGTGCTCGGTTCTCGAGAGGGCGCCTCGGCCGTCCTTTTCCAGGCTTGCGCCCGCCAGGTTCGGGCCCGAGGTCGTTTTCCCTGAGCCTCGGTTTTGCGGGAGGGGGGCCCTGTCCATCCCCGAGAGTTCGCGGCCATCGAGGTGGTCGTGGCGCCAGGTTCGGGCCCGAGGTCGTTTTCCCTGAGCCTCGGTTTTGCTGGAGGGGGGCCCTGTCCATCCCCGAGAGCTCGCGGCCCTCGAGGTGGTCGTGGCCTGCTCCGGGACGCTCCAGCTCTGCTCCGCCAGCGGCCACTCCGCCCTCCTCTCGAGGAGCAAACAGCACCGGCGGCGAGCGAGCAGGGGGGAGGGGGGGCAGCGAGAGGGAGCAGGCCCCCTCAGAAGGCGGTGGGGGGCTTCTCGGGAGCCCTCCGGCCTTCTGGGAGGTTTCCTGCGGCCTCGGGGAAGAGCTTGGCAACTCCTCAGGGGGCCGGGGGACTTCCGACCCTTCTGAGAAGGCCTGGCCCTTCTCACTTCCCCCCCGGCTCGACGCCGAGAAAATGGTATGAGCATGAACGTTCGGAGGTCCGCGGTTCTTTGGGATCGGCGCCGGAGCCCCCCCGCGCCTCCGGCCCCCGCGCCTGCCGCGCTCCGCGCGCCAGGGGAGGGGGACCAGCGCCGCTCCGAGAAATCAGCGCGTACCTCCAAAAGGTTTGTGTGCTTCTCAGCCGCGCGCAGAGGGGGGTGGGGGGAGGGGGGAGGGCTTCTTAGAAGCACCCCACCTTCTAAGAAGCCCCCCCCCCTCCCTGCACCCCCTTGTGCGCGCCGCCAAGCTTCGGGGGCGACGACGGGGGCGACTAGCCCAGGGGAGACCAATACACGTGTATCCAGGGCGCCGATGGTCCATGCCTTCAGCGAGGCTTTCGGGCGAGTGCGTGTAACGCGCGGCCCCCGTGCGCGGCCCGCTTCGCATCTATCGGAAGAGGTTCGCTCTCGCCCCGCAGATCAAAAAAGTAACGCGCGGCCCTATAGGCAACACAATGCGGCATCGCGAGACATCACCACCCGAGCTCTGGTTCTCTCTGCGTGTCTCTCCGAGCCGGATCTGTCAGCGGGGGTCCCAGGGCCAGAAAGGCCAGGCGAATCCGCCCGCCGTGACAAAAGTGCACCGCCTGGATGTGAGGCTTTGCCCTTGCCGTCGCCGCCGATGTTTGACCACACGCAGGGGCTAGTAGGGGGAGGGGGAAGCTTCTTAGAAGGGGGGTGCTGTAGGACCAGCGCCTGTTGAGAAGCAGCCTCCCTCCAGGGAGCCTCCCCCCCTCCCTCTACAGTCAACCTGCATAGTAAGGATGAGCAACTTCCCAAGGTTACCCTTGCATCCTTGCCCCTTCGGTCCATCCTTGGCCTCTTTCGCTGGCCGCGCCCCGGCCGCATGTGTCGACATGGCCTTCCAAGGCCCTGGTATCTTTATCGTGCGTGCGTCCTTATTTCCACGAGTTGACTGTGCCCCCTTCCCAGACATCCAGCCGCTCGAATCTTCCTGATGCGCCGGCCCCCGAAGGTGTGCACCACCTCCCTGTAGGGCCGGTTTCCAGTCTCATCCTGAACCGTTCTCGGACGGCCCCGAGGCCCGGCGCAGGCCCCCAGAGGCCGAACACGGCCCCAAACCCGCCGCTCCACTTTGTTCACCGAGCGCGTTCCACGACTCGCAGAGTGCCCACCCGCAGGCGTCCCGAAAAGCATGTCTTCCTACACGCAATGGAGCGTCAGGCCTTCGCGCGGCGGATGCGGGCCGTTTTGCGAGAGCAGTTCCTCTGCGGGTCGTGTTGCGCGCTGGTCCATGTTTGTGCCGGAGCCTCGGGCCTCTGGGCTCGGAGGGAGGAGAAGCGATACCGACACCACCAGGGGGCCCACCGCCAGCGAGGAGGTCCACGACGCCTCCCCGAGCCGGAGGCCGGGGATGCCTCGAGCGAGAGGGGGGGACCACACCACCAGGGAGACCCCCCTCGCCTCCTCGCACCTCCTCGCCCCGTCGGTGCTGGCGTCGCCTTTCCTTGCTCCTATATGGGCGGTGCGCGCCGCCCCGCCGCTGCCGTGCGTTTTGCCCCTCGGCCCCCCGTCGAGCCCGGCGACCTGGCCCTCGTGCCCGCGGGCACCCGGCGCGCGCTGCGGCGCGGGGAGGCCGGGGGCGCCGCGCGGGCGCTGCGCCTGCTCCCGGGGAGGCCTCTGCGCGCCGGGAAGGCCCGCAGGCGGGCCCGCCTCGGGCCTCGCCTCCTCCTCCTCCTCCTCCTCCTCCTCCTCCTCCTCCGCCTCCTCCTCCTCCTCCTCCCTCCTCCTCCCTCCTCCTCCTCCTCCTCCTCTTCCTCCTCCTCCTCCTCCTCCTCCTCCTCCCTCCTCTTTCCGTAGCCATTTTGGCTCAAGCGAGCCGCGCTTCGGGAGGCCCTCGCCAGCGCGCCTGCTCCAGGCGCATGCGCGCAAGCGGCCGCAATGTCTCGTGCTGTCACTGCTGGCGGCAAAGCCTGGGCTGCGGCGAGTGCTCGGACCCTGGCTCGGCGCCTTCGACGCGAACGGAGGGCGCAGCTCGGGCAGACAAGGGCCGCCGCTATGTCCTTCCGGTTGCGTGGCCTCCGTGTCGCCCTCGACGCCCACTGGCGCCTTGGAGATCGCCTGGGCGGCTACATTCCCACGCTGGGCGCCGCGATCGCGGCGGCCCGCCTGGTGGGGCTCGACGACGCGGAGCTCCAGGATACCATTGACGCCCTGGAGACTGGCAGCTGGTGCCGCCACGCCCCGCCGCCATACGCGAGCGGGATGCCGCCGCTGCCTGCGGCTGTTCGGGCCGTTGTCCTCGAGTCGACGCTGAAGATGATGGCCTTTCCGCTCAACGCCGAGGCCGATCCCTTCCAGCCCCGACTTCCTGTTCATGTGAATGCAGAGCTCGCTCCTGGTTGCTGGGCACCGCCAGCCACAGATGCGAGCCGCTACGACGACTTTCCTGATTTACATCATGGTGACGCTCCTGACGTTCCTGCTCCTCGAGAGCCTGCTGGTCATCGAGAGCCTGCTGGTCTTCGAGTGCCTGCTGGTCTGGAGCATGTAAAACTCGCTGCTCGCCGAGAACCTTATGATCTTCAAGCTGTTCCTGCTGACGACCTTCCTGAGCCGTGTCGTTTCGAACTTCCTGGTCATTTGGATCCTCCTGAAGCGGGTCTATACAACTTTCGTGGAGATCCCGCTGGTCGCCATGTTGTTCCTGCTGCTCATCGAGAGCCTGCTTGTCTACACGATGTCCCTCCGAATCGAGGGCCTGCTGATCTTCGTGAGCCCGCTGGTCTTCGAGAGCCTGCTGGTCCACGAGATCCTGGGAAACTCTTTCCTCATCGAGAGCCTGCTGGTCTTCAAGCTGTGCCTGCTGTACCTGTGCGCTTTCGTCTCGACGTCGACTTCCAGAAGGAGGCTGTGACGGCCGTTTCTGGCCCTTCTACTCACGTCGTTGTTCCTGGTGCTGCTTGGTGGAGTGCTCGTGATGCCGTGGCGCACGTCTGGCTCAGAGCACCTGGTCAAGCTGTTCGTGTGCATCGTCGACCTCACGCCGTCGTTCCTGGTGCTGATTGGTGGAATGCTCGGGCTGCCGTGGCACGTGCCTGGCTCAGAGCACATACTGGAGGATGAGTTGCGGAGGCTGTCTTGAGAGCTCTCTCTAGTACCGCCCCGCTTGAATTAAGGAGTGTTAATTAAGTTAACACTCGTTGCACTCTGTTTCGGGCCCTCGATTTTTCGTTGCCCCTGTGTGTTCGGTCGGGCCCCTCGCTCGGCTCTGTCTGGGTTCCTGGGGTCCGTCCCTCGTCTCTTTCGGCCCTTCCTTCGGGCCCCTCGCTCGTCGTTTCGGCGCCACGGGCAGGAGTGTTCGGCAGACGATCACCCGCGAGCAAATCAAAAATCCCCCCTCCTCTTCTCCTCCTCCTCCTCCTCCTCTTTCGGGGCCCGCCTCCGGGGTGTCGTCCTCGAGGCCAGGCCTCGAGGCCTCGAGGCTTCGCGGGGGGCAACGGCACGTAGGTGGGGGCGCTCAGGCCCCGGAGGGGGGCAGGGCCCACATCTCGGGGCTCGGCTCGCCCCGAAGCCTCGGGCCAGGCCTCGAGGCCTCGAGGGTTCTTCTCCGCGACGCCCTGCCTCGAGGCCTCGAGGGTTCGTTGGGCCAACGGCGTAGGAGGGCATGCTCAGGCCCAGGGGGGGGGGCAGGGCCCAGATCTCGGGGCTCGCCTTGGTGCCTCTGGCCAGGCCTGGGGGGTTCGAGGGGCAACGGTACAGGTGGGTGAGCTCAGGCCCAGGGAGGGGGTCAGGGCCCACATCTCAGGGCCCACATCTCAGGGCCTGCCTCGAGGCCTCCGGCCAGTCCTCGAGGCCTCGAAGGTTCATCCTCGAGGCCAGGCCTCGGGGCCCGGTGTAGTCTCGCTTGCTCTGGCTTTGGGGAGGCTTGGGCTGAGCTCGCGTGGCTGACGGGGACAGGGAGGGAGCCCGCGCGCGCCGTCGATCAGAAGCAAGCGGCGCAGAGGGTGGCTCCCGCGCCCACGATCGACTGCACGTAAGAGTGACCCTTCGCCAGGGTGGCCTTTGGTGCGCGCCCACCGGGGCGCCCCGAGCGTCGAGCGCGAGGCGGCAGTGGCGTCTTGCGCGCTTGTGCGTTGCCCCCCCCACGGCCCCCCAAATGCCGCGCCCAAAAGGTCACTCTTACCCAGGGTTTGTCTTGTGTGTAGCCGACTCGAGGCCTCGAGGGTTCGTCCTCCAGGCCAGTCCTCGAGGCCTCGAGGCTTCGAGGGTTCGAGGGTCAGCGGTATTTCTAGGTGGGGATGGTTGTGCCCAGAGGGGACGGGCCACACTCGGGGCTCGTCTCGTTGCCTCCGATTACCGAGTCGGTTCGGCTCGCATTCAAAGAAGGAAAAAGTAACCATACCGCTACTTTGTCCTCGCTTCCCTGCTTCGAGCCTCCTAGGAGGCCCTCGTCGCCACCGCTGGATTCGCCTCGGAATTCTGCTCGGAACGCGCTCCAGGAGAGATCCGGGGAGTAGCGGTATCGGTAACCTTGGATACAGCTCTTGTCCGCACCTTTGTCGGGAACCAAGCAGCATAGGCTGACACAGGTCCGCGCGGATGTTCCCGATCGACGCTGTGCCCAGCGCCGATCCGAGGAACCCGCGCGAGCCACCGACAGCTGTTGCGTTTGTGCCGCTATGTGTTCCGCCCTGCTTCGCGTTCTTCGCCCCCTCGGGCCTCAGGCTTCCCAGGGACTCGGCGTGTGGAGCATGTCAAGGCGGAAGGTGTTCGCCGCCTTCGGCCTGCAGGTCGAGGCTTATAGACCCCCTCGCGTCATGAAAAGATCGCGACGGGAGGTGGTTCGCCATCTTCGGCCTCTGGAGGCCTTCGCCGGGCCGCGGGACCGAACACAAAACAACGCAGGATGAGAACCGGGTCCTCAGGACCGGGTCGAGACGTGTTGGGGCCCCGCACTGCAAACATTCAAGCAGTGGCGAAGCGTCTTGGCTCGCCTATAGCCCTACCAAACAATGTTGTAAGAACTTCGTGTGGTTTCCACACCATGCTCTTCGAACATTTTTGGCGGAGTCTGTCTTGTTTTACCTCATCGGGTTTATTTTCTAAGAACATTTGTTTGTTCGTAGAACATTCTTGAGTTCTAAGAACAATTCGTGGTAGGTCTACAGGAATGCCGAGACGTTCAGTCCCTGCTCAAAACATCCAGACCTTGTATCTCTGGTTCTTGCTCTCCTCTCCCCCCCCTTCCATGCAGTGGCAGCGCCCTGGGAGCCCGCCCTAAGGGCGCGCTGCCAGGGAGTTCCTGGAGGCTTCTCGTCGCCACGGTTGGCTCTGCCTGGGAATTCAGAAAATCCTCAAGCTCAACTTGCCGAATTCACAGGAAGTTGGGAATTCGGAAATGCGAGGCAAATTCCCGAATTCCCGTAGTCCTCGGAATTCGACACATCCTGAGGCACAACCTGCGGAATTCCCGAGAATCGTTTTTTTTGTTCTGGGAGGGAGGTCCAGGCAAACAGGCTCGAGCAACGCGAAGAACATAACGACAACAACACGACAAACAGCGTTTAGGTCCAGCCCTGCCGCACACGGACCCCCGCGGGAGGGGCCCGGGGATTTTTTTTGTGAGCGGAGGTGGCCCGGGCGGCGGGGCCGCGCCGTCTTCTCGGCGGGACCTCCGCCGAAAGCCAGGGAGGAAGAGCCGCCCGGAACGGACAACTGGCGTTTACTGAACGGCCCTGCCCTGTTCGATTCCTGCTCTGGGCGCGCTTACTAATCGGCCCTGGGCGTTTACTAACCTGCTCTGTGCGCGTTTACTAAACGGCCCTGGGCGTTTAGTAAACGGCCCCGGGTGTTTACTAAACAGCCCTGCCCTCTTCGATTCCGGTTCCTTTCCTGGGCGCGTGTACGAAACGGCTTCGCGCGTCGGGGTGGTTATTAGGGGGGGTGGATTTGTTGACCTCCGCGAGAAGGCGCAGGAGTTCGACGGTGCGGAGGCAGGCGACGGGCAAGCGGCCGCCACGGCTGAGGATGCAGCCTCGCGGCGGCCTGCCCTGATGCGGCCCGCGTCGTTCGAGGCGGAGGTCCCGGCGGAGGGCTCCGAGCAGGGCTTCCAAGCCGTGGTGCACAGGGCCGCGGAGAGGCCCTGCGTCGTCGTCCCCCGCGGAGACGGAGAGGCGAGCGACGGGAGGAAGCGGAGGCGACGGCGGCGGCAGTCGTGCGTAGGCTCCGCGCGTGACGCCGAGCGTGAGCGACCTACGCAGCCACGCGCAGAGCCCAGACCCCCTCGAGTTATGAAAAAATCACGACGGGAGGTTTTTCATTATTTTTGGCCTCTGGGGGCCCTTACCGGCCCTCGGAACCGTCAAAAAACGACTCATGAGGAAAAACCGGTCCCGGGGAATGGGTCCAGACAGCTGGGGGTCGACGTCATGAAAAATTCACGACGTCGGGGGTCTGGGAGGGGGGTCGAGGGCAGGGGGAAGGCTTCTCAGAAGCACCCCTGCTTCTTCGAAGGCGCGGGCCGTGTCTAAAGACGTAGGGCTGGCGCCTGCTGGGAAGCAGCCTCCTTAGCCTTCCCCTCCCCCCTTGTGTGCGCCGCCAACCTACGCGGTGTGCCAGGCTGGCAGCCCGCGTGAGGTCGCTGTGTCTTTGTCGCGTAGGGCCCGTTTGTGTTCGTCGCTCAGGTGGTGATAGAGTACGTGGAGCTGACACCAGAGGTGCCAGCGCTTCACTTCGAGGCTCAGGCGGAGGACTGGTTGGTCCTGCTACTGGAGGGAGACAGTCTCATGGTCAACGGGAGCGCCATGCGTGCGGGGGAGCTCTGCCTGCTTCCGCGAGGAGGCGACAAGGAGCTGCGCCTGCCAGAGAACCACCAGCCCGAGGGGGCTCGCGGAGGGGGGGGGCAAGCTAGGTGCGCTCGCGTCATATCTGACGTCCTACCCCTCCCTCCCATCCCTTACCATGGCGCTGATTTTCTCTATCCGCGGACGCGTGTCGTAGCGGACCTGTGGCTCCGCGCGCGCGTGCGTAGTGGGTGGTGGTGCACGTGCGTGCGTGCGTGCGTGTGTGCGTGGTTGTCGTGGTGGTGGTGGTGGTGGTGGTGGTGGTGGTGGTGGTGGTGGTGGTGGTGGTGGTGGTGGTGGTAGTGGTGGTGGTGGTGGTGGTGGTGATGGTGGTGGTGGTGTGCTGGTGGTGGTGGTGGTGGTGCTGGTGGTGGTGGTGTTGGTACTGGTGCTGGTGCTGGTGGTGGTTGGTGGTGGTGGTGGTGGTGGTGGTGGTGGCGGTGCGGCGCGGTGGTGGCGGGCGGATGGGCGCGCGAGAAAAAAGGCCCGCGCTGGGGCGAGAACGCCATCCTGAACGACGGAGGCCAAACACCGATCCGAAAATGAGGCCCACGCTGCAGCGGGAGCACGATTCGGAACGATTCGGGAGCAGAAATGAAGCCGGCGCCTCAACGAGAGCAGCATTTTGGGAAAAAAATGACGCCGGCGCCTCAGCGAGAGTCGTTTCCCGGGATATCCCGGGGATCCTGTGTGTAAAAAAACAGTACGCGGAGGGTGCGCGGCCATCACCCGGACGCCATCAGGGGAAGAGGGAGAGTATTTTCATATTGAGTAATTGTAGAGTTGGCTGGGAGGGCCCAGGGCAGGAAATCCAGGGAGATCGCCGCCCTGACCCTCCCTCGGAGCCCCCGTCCCTGGATCCTCCCCTCATCCCTCCCCAGACCCCCTCGAGTCATGACGAAAATCACGACGGGAGGTGTTCCATCATCCTCTGCCCCTGGGGGCCCTTACCGGGCCTCGGAACCGTGACAAAGACGGCTCAGGATGAGTTCTGGTCCCTGGGAATGTGTCGAGACTCAGGCGACTGCAAGCATGGAGCAAGGGGGCGTGGATTAGCGACGGGTCCCGCTTCCATAGGAGATCGCGGATCTCCGCCGCCGAACGAGGCGGCGCCGGCCGCATTTTGGGGCGGGCATCTCCTCCGATCCATGGATTAGGCGACAAATCCATGGATCGCTAATCCATGTTTGCGCGCCCCCGAGAGACCTCTGCGGGTCGACGCTCTGACACACCCTGAGATCCGACGCCAAAAAATTGCAACATCGCAGAAATCACGCCCCTGGACCGCATCTTTCCGCGTCATTTTTCGAGCCGGCTCGATCTGTGGGGGTCCCGGGGCCCAAACATTGAGCCCAACCCCCCGTTGTGAAAAGATGGCCACGCCAGGACCTCAGGGCAAGTCCTGGCATCCGGGGTCTGGGCCTGGCACCTCCCCGGGAGGAGGTGAGGGAAGAGGGGAGGAGGAGGAGGGGGAGGAGGGAGGGGGAGGAGGGGAGGAGGAGAGGAGGAGGAGGAGGACGAGAGAGGAGGAGGAAGGAGGAGGAGGAGGAGGAGGACGGAAAGTGGAAAGGAGGAGGGGGAGAAGGAGGGGGAAGTGGAGGAGGAGGGGGAGGGAGGAGGAGGAGGAGAGGAGGAGGAGAGGAGAGGAGGAGGAGGAGAAACCATGACGTCGGGGCCTGGCCTGCCCCCACCCCCAGGGAGCCCGCTCGGCAGCAGAGGGCGCTGGCGCTCCTGGCGCGGAGCACGCTGAAGCGCGCCACCGCCCCGGGCACCGCGGGGGCCGCGCCGGAGGCCCCCCCGGGGGGCGCTCGGAGCCCGGGGAGAGGAGTGCAGCGAGTGGGCTCCTTCCTCCTCCTCAGTGCTCCTCCTCCCCTTCTCCTCCTTCCCCCTTCCTTCCTCCTTCCTCCTCCTTCTGCTCCTCCTCCTCCTCCTCCTCCCCTCCTCCTCCTTCCCTCTCCTCCTCCTTTTATGCTCCCCCTCCTTCCTCCTCCCCCTCCCCCTCCTCTGCTCCCCCTCCCCCTCTTGGGCCTCCTCTCCTCCCCCCTTCCTCCCCTTTCCTCTCTCTTCCTCCTCCTTTCCCTCTCCTCCTCTTTCATCCTCCTTCCTCCTCCTCACATCCTCCTCCTCATCCTCCTCTCTCTCCTCCTCCCTCCTCCTCCCCCTCCCCCTTCCTCCCCCTCCCCCTCCCCCTTCCTCCTCCTCCTCCTCCCCCTCCTCCTCCTGCTCCTCCTCCTCCTCCTCCTCCTCTTCCTCCTCAGGCAGCGGGCAGGGCCACGGACAACAGCAGACCCGCGTGCTTTCCGCCTGCGTGCCTGCTGATCTCGACGCAGGGAAACAACAGTCATACAGGTATACACTTTCGACGCTCCACGCGTATTTCTTGGAACTGCGCTGGGGCCCCCCCCTGGCGGCGCCACCCCTGGCGCGCTCCGCGCGCCAGGGAGCGGGGCCCAAGAAATCCGTGCGGACCGTCGAAAGTTGATGTTTATGTATTCTTGATATTCGATAATTTGCTCCGTTGGCTCCCACCGTTGCCCTACCTGCTGCTTGGATCCAAGTGGCCGCCGACAGGAGAGCAAACCCCACAGGCGGAGCGGCAGGAAGAGGAGCTCACAGCGAGTCCGTCCATCGAGCAGTGGCGAAGCGCCCTGGCTTGCCCACCGGCCCACCAAATATTGTTCTAAGGACCTTTTGTGGCTTGCTCGAAATGGTTTTCGCGCAATTCTGGCTGAGACTGACATGTTTTCGTACGTCGGCTTGACACTCTGAGAACATTGTCTTTCTTATAGGAATGCCGGGACGGTCGGTCCCTGCTCAAGTCCAGCCCCCCGCCGTGCCCGCGTCGTCGTGCCTTTCTGCAGGTGGCCTGCGGGTGTGGGGTTAGGTCGGGCATGTCCTCCTGCAGGCGGACCCTGGAGGAAGAATGAAAGGCAGTCAGCAAATGTTTACCAAAAGCAGCACAAGATAGACAACAAAAAAGACATAGTCCCCAGACAATGCTTGGACAATGTTTGGACATTCTTCCTGTAGAGGGCCATGCCCGAGTTTGGTGCGGGGGGGGAGCCTCTCCCGACCTCGACCGCCTCCTCGTTGTTAAGCCTCCCAGATGGGGTCGGAGGATCGCGCCGCGCCGCCTCGTTGCCGATGCGTCGGCGATGCGGCTCGATGTGCAGCCCGATCTGCCTCACATCGACGTCGCCGAGGCATCGCCGACGTCGACGATGCATCGCTGGTGCATCGCCGATGCTTCGCCGACGCATCGCCGATGCATCGGCGATGCGGCGCGATCCTCCGACCCCATCTGGGAGGCCTCTATCCTCGGGACCGGCTTTTTCTCGCGAGTCGTGTTTGGACGGTCCAGGGGGCCTGGGGAGGGCCCCGAGGTCATCGAGGAGAGCAGAGCCCCTAACCCTCAGAGCACAATGAAGAGCCGTGGCCTCACTGAGGTCCCCGCCTCTGCAATAGGGATCACAGCTCTGGGATGGGCACGATGCCTCTCCGAGCTGGGGATAAAAGGGGGATGTCTCGAGCGAGAGGAGGGGCCCACACCACCAGGATGACCCTCCTTTGCGCCTCCCGCATGCGGTCGTGGTACCGCCTTTCTCCATGAGCTGACAACTGGCACCCACCTCTGTGCGCGCCCCAGATGTCGTTGGGCGGGATTTCGGGGCGGGCTGTGGGTGTGTGCTGTCGGATGGGTGTCCCCGCTGGACAAGGGGGGCCCCCCTCGGGATGCGACGACCCGCGCCCATGTCTATAGCGCCTTCATTTCCTTGCCCCTCCTCTCTTGGGCATTCCCTTGGAGCCCTCCTCGGCGGCGTCTTGACGACTTTTCGGCCCGCCTTGTAAGGCCACCTTGGGGGTGCCTCTGAGTTGTCTTGGAAGGCAGCTGGCACCCCTTCCTCCTCCCGAGAGGTTTGGGCGCGTGATGTTCTCCCATCGGAGGCGGACGAAGCAGAGGAGCAGGAGGAGGATGAGGAGGAGCAGCAGGAGGAGGAGGAGGAGGAGGAGGAGGAAGAGGAGGAGGAGGAGGAGGAGGAGGAGGAGTGGGAGGAGGAGGATCGAGGAGGAGGAGGAGGAGGAGGAGGAGGAGGAGGAGGAGGGAGAACGCCACAGCCTAGTTGCCGAAGCCCCGCCCCTGCGCAGAGGCCTTGCCCGAGGGCCCGCGCTGCGAGGCCAAGCGCCGCCGGCTGGCCGCGGAGGCCTCCCCGCCGCAGCCTCCCCTGGGCGGCGCGGGCGGCGCGGGCGGCGAGGGGTGCCGCGGGGCCGCCAGAAGCCGCCGCCGCCGCCGCTGCTGCACGCGGCCTCGCAGCATGTTCGAGCGTCAAGCAGTGGCGAAGCGTCCTGGCTTGCCCATGGGCCCACCAAAGACTCTTCTAGCAACCTTCTGTGATTTGCACGGCACGTTCCAAGGACAGTTCTGGCTGAGACCGTCTTCTGTCTGAATGCATCGGGACTCTGGTTTGAGAACCGTATGCTTGTTCTTAGAACGCT